TCTCACGCACGAGGCGCTGGAACGGGATTTTTCGGATGAGGAGCTCGGTCGACTTTTGATACCGGCGAATGTCGCGGAGTGCGACCGTGCCGGGGCGGTAGCGCTGGGTCTTCTTCTTGATGGTCGCTTCCATGACAGCCTTCTTGGCCGGCGCGACCTTGCGCGGCGCCTTGCCTTCGTACCGACGGGCGGTCTGCTTGGTGCGAGCCATCGTCTTTTGACAATGCAATGGCTCCAATATGTTTTAAACTATATTCTCATTTATTTGGAGATTTGTAGTCGGAATCCAACAGCAAACGTCGGTTTAAAACCCTTTGGCGGAGCGATGGGTCAAGTGAAGGCGCCAATGGCGTCCGTCCTCTCTAAAATAGGACCAATCACAGTCTTTGGCGGCGAATGCAATACCCAATGAAACGCGACCTTTCTGGCGCGGGCAAGATCGACCAGGGGCATTGGAGCTGGCATGGGATTGGCGTCGTGGCCATCCTGTGCTGCATCAAATTGAAGGAGGTGATACAAGGACTGCGGACGAGGATCCGGTGGACAGAAGAGGGGCGACCGAGCTTGGATATTTGTAGTGTAGATTCCCGTGAGCGAGGTGACTGGTCCTGGTTATCACAGCGAGCAGCGTACACCCGTGTGTGTTTGAAGCGCTTGAGAGAACGACGTGGGTGCTTGGTGCTGCATCAACCCAGCTCGTCGCAAAGACGACGGACAATGCGCCGACGATTTGCAGCTTCGTGCTTGCATCGTGTATGCATATCGGTCGGTGGAAGCGGTCCGTTCGATGACTGACCATCGCCCAACCAGCTCTCGCTGGAAAGAAAAATACCTCGTGCGCGATCGCTTTTGACCTGGAGACAGCTGACAGAACGATACGCGTTGAAACGTCCAGTCTAACGAATCCCAGCCACACATCTATATATAGAGTCTGCTAACATCAGTTCTGGGAGCTAAGTTCTGGGAGCTAATGCCAACCTCTGTGGATGTCGTCGTGGCACTTGGTGTACAGCGACGGTGCTTTTGAGCATCACGGTCGCGATAGCTAGGTAGACACGGCACATCGAGCAGAGAATCCGAGGCAATGAAATGTGGGACTATGTTTTACGACGACCGGTAGGGTATATAGCCTGGCGCTTGGTCCATTTGATATTGCGGGTACGGAAACGGCGGGTACGAGGACGGCGGAGGCGGCTCAGGCTTGGCCGCGGGCTGGCTAAACTGCAGCCCGAGCAGTGCCGAGACGTGGCTTTCGAGCTGCACTTCCTGGCGGGGCGTGTACTCGCGCGGCGGTGGCACCAATGGTGGGTACATGTACGGCGGCGCGCGGGACGAATGTGCGGCTGCGTTTGGCGGCGGAAAGAGCCGCTGCTCCGAGAACTGTGGGCGGATCGGCGCCGTGTGCGGCGACGGGAACGCGGCCTTTGGAGTCGCCTGCGGCTCCTTCGCCACAGTGGGCTTCGCGGCCTTGGGTTTCCTCCGCGGCGACTGCATGGCAATGTGGTTTCCATTGACAACGATGCCAGCTTGGGCGTGGCACTCGTGGACTTCGCGCTCGAAGCCGTGCGACACCATCTTCCACTGGAGTTCGTCGACAAGCGCCTTGAGGCGCGTGTTCATCGACTCCATGTCGAAGACGCGCCGCTGCAGCTGCTCCATGCGGTCCTTGTTGCGGCGGCGTGAGAGCGCAGCGGCCTCGCGGTTCTTGAGCTTGCGGTGGTCGCCACCACTCGAGTGGTCATCGTCCGCGTCCTTGGTCTTGCGGCGCTTCGGCTCCGTGGCCTCGT